GAATATGGATTTATTGTGAAGCAACACGCAATTATCTAATGTCAGTTATGGGGGTAGGGGAGTCTATGAAATCAATGCAAATGAAATCCTAAAGCACGACAGGCCATCAATATGGGCATTGAGTCTCGTGACAAAGGGCTTGTGATCCCTGAAACTTTCATGGCCTGGACATTCCCAACTATGGCCAGTGGGCTATTTACATCTCAGTCTAGAAAAGAATCAATAGAAAGCTGAAAAGCCCTGGCTCTCGCACAAAAGATAATCAAAGCGCCTAACCCACAGCGACTCAAGTAGGACACAGTGGGAATTATCTGAAATTAATTACTCTGCTATCAGGCGAATGTAGCATTATTGAGAAGGAATATCTTGGCTGGAGTTTCTTGCTGAGTCTCCATAAAAACACGGGACAGGATAAAGTAGGGTAAGAAGGGCGAGTGTCACATACATTAAGACTGCCATCAAGATCAAGCAAACTTCAATGCCAACGGTGGTCAGCTGCAGGAATGCGCAGCGTGACTAGAAATGGGTGTGGGTTGTTTGTGCAAAGCCAGCTAGTAAAATACGCGGGGTAAATAATATCGCTTCAGAAAACTCCACTGCTGAACGGCCTGTCTTCACCTACATCTCTCAGCAAAAACTCACTCTGGAGCTTCTGGAAGAATGTACTGGAAACGGAGGGTGCATATGGTATTCCTGGCCCTTCATCCAACTAGAACAGGCTGAATTCATTTCTGCGTCATCTATGAAGAAACGGTTTGCTAAGAAATTAATAATGTGAGTGTGTACATGACATCTCAAATCTGCGTGAGCACATGTGGGGGTGATTTTAACCTCTGCACTGCTGGGTAAACTCCATCAGGGCAGGGCCTGCCTCTCCTGCTCCTATACCTTTGTAACCTATCTATAGCATTAAGCCTGGTATACAGCAAGCGCTTGCTAGATGTCTCCTCAATGAACAAAGAAATGCTCAAGGGAATGAATGTCCGACTTCTAAGAAGTACCTACTTCCTTCTGACAATTTATACCAAGGTGATGGTTCTGATTTACCATCTGAAGGCGGTAATAACCAAAAACCAATATCTAGTCATGTTTTCTGAGCAGCTCGTTCAAAACCACTATTGTACTCAATTTATATTAACTTTTTCTAAACGCGACGAGCCTGTCTCCCTGCTGAGTGTGTGAGGTTTTACTACAGTCCTGTTTTTCTGACTGGATAGTCTTATAACCTCCCCCTTGACTCAGATGCTGTTAATCAGGACAGTATACAGTGAGTCTGATACTAAAGGACCCACTATGGACAATTGGTGTCTTTGTGTTCTCCCCAAGTTGGGTTTGAATCTCATCAGTCCTGAGTTACTGTATTTATTCTTCATGATTCTTTAGGTTCATGATTTACATTTGTATTATGCTAGTCTTTAGGACAAGGGGCTAAGAGACCCAAAAAAGGCACATTGAAATCCATGAACACGGTTCTTTTGATTACCTCATAGTCCCAGCACACAATGCTGGCTAGCATATGATACATTTATTACTATAAAGGGTAACGTCTCAGTCTCTCACACAAAAGCAAACCAAGCAGTGCTTTCAAATTAACAATCCCCTGGGGTTTTTTCTTTTTCTTTCTTTTTTTTAAGCTAAAATGGAAATCTGGTGCTTGACTCAGGAAATCAGGGACAAGAAGGTAGTGGAAGGCTTGTATTTACTTCTAATAAGCCACCATCTGTTGCTTAGATGCAAAAAGGTATAAAGACAGAGGCTGTGGTTGTAGGACATGAAACATGCTGTCCGAGCAGCCCGGAAAGATGAACATCTAAATACAACTTTGTCCACTAAATATTTCTCGAACGTGCCATATGAACTGGACACTCAGTTAGACACTCACTGGAGACACAAAGATAATGTAGCATGCCTTTCTTGCTCAAGCAGCTCACGATTCCCAAGGAGGCTAAAATGTGTCCGATGAATTCCAATATTCCAGGATAATGGTCAGGTTTCGTGTACAAAGCTAGTTTAACAAAGCGCAAAATAGGAAGCAATAAAATATACTTAAGGGGGTGAAAGGGAATTTCAGAGGAGATGGTAGTTGGACTTTATCTTGAAGGACACATAGAATTTTACTTGGAAAAACCTGGAGGAAGATATTTTAAGTAGAGGAAATTGCATGAATTAAAGCAGAGTGTGTGAAAATACAAGTGTGTTCAGTAACACAGGCAGGGTCCAGTGTGGATGGAGTGGAGGCTATTGGGGCGGGGCGTGGCAGAGGAGAGCGGAGATTTTGATTAAAGTCAAGACTCAAGACCTTTGCCAAAATGTTTGGAATTTATCTTACAGAACTGGAAAACCATCAGGCTTTTCGGAAACAGGAGACTGCAAGAAAAGAGGTATGTTCTGGAGAGATGACTACCTGCACAGAGCATGGACAAGAAGCTAAAGATATGGAGGTAGAGTTGCTTCCAGATTTTAAGGAAGAAAGAACCTAACAAACAAAACAACTACATAATAAGTGAAAAAGGGTAACTCCCTCCATTCTCACTCCATGAAGCTGGATGATGGCATCACAAAATATCTGCTTGAAACTCTCAACTCTAACTCCCATGATCCCTGTGGAACTCCTAGGAAGTGCTGTTTGGTCACATTAAAATAGCATGAATAATAAAAGTCATCCAAACTGGAAAAGAAGTAAAACTGTCTCTGTTCACACATGACACGATCTCCTATGGAGAAAACCCTAAAGATTCTACCACACAAAAACTGTTAGAGATAAGAAACAAATTCAGCAAAGTTGCAGGACACAAAATCAACAATCAGTTCCATTTCTATACCCTAGCAATGAACAATGTGTAAAAAGAAAATAAGAAAACAATTTCATTTACAATAGCATCAAAAAAAATGATCAAATACTTGGAAATAAACTTAACTAAGGCAGTAAGACGTATACACTGAAAATTACAAAACATTGCTGAAAGAAATTAAAGAAGACATAAAGAAATGCAAAGATACCCTATGTACATGGATTGGAAGAACTTCATATTATTAAGATGACAACACTACCCGACTACAGACCCACTGCAATCCCTATCAAAATCTCATGGCATCTTTTGCAGAAATAGAAAAACCCATCTTAAAATTCACATGAAATCTCAAGGGACCTGAGTAGCTAAAACAATCTGAAAAAGAAGAACGAAGTTAGAGGGCTCACATGTCTTGATTTCAAAACTTACTACAAAGCTACATCAATCAAAAGAGTATAATATCTACAAAGGACAGACATATAAGTTAATGGAATAAAAGAAGAGGGCCCAGAAATAAAATCTAGCATATATGGTCATTAATTTTTGAAAAGGAAGCCAAGACCAGTCAATGAGGAAAGAACAGTCTTTTCAACAACTGGTTCTGGGAAAACTGGGTATCTATCTGCAAAATAATGAAGTTGGACCCGTACATTATATCATATATAAACATAAACTTAAAATGGGTCAAAGACCTAAACTTAAGAGCTGAAACTTTAAAACTCTTAAAAGAAAACAGGAGAAAATCTTCATGATATTGGATTTGGCAATGATTTCTTGGATATGACACCAAAAGTACAAGTAACAAAAGCAAATGCAAACTGGATTTCAAACTTAAAAAACTTTTATGCATCAGAAGACATTATCAAAAAGTGAAAAGTCAACCCTAGAATGAAAGAAACTATTTATAGGGGCGCCCGGGTGGCTCAGTTGGTTAAGCAACTGCCTTCAGCTCAGGTCATGATCCTGGAGTCCTAGGATCGAGTCCCACACTGGGCTCCCTGCTCAGTGGGGAGTCTGCTTTTCCCTCTGACTCTCTCCCCTCTCATGTTCTCTCTCACTCTCTCTAATAAATAAAATCTTAAAAAAAAAAAAAAAGAAACTATTTATAAATCATGCATCTGATAAGGGATTAGCAGCCAGAATATACAAAGAACTCCTACAACTCAACAACCAACAACAACCCCAATTCAAGAATGAGCAAAGAACTTGAACAGACATTCTTTAAGGACTATATATATTCTTATTAGTCGTTAGAGAAATGCAAATCAAAGTCACAACGAGACACCATTTTACACCCATTAGGATGGCTATTAACAAAAAAGGGGGAAATTACAAGTGTTGGTGAGAAGTAGAAAAACTGGAACCTCACACATTGCTGTCAGAAATGTACAATGATGCAGCCATACTGGAAAACTGTATAGTGGCTCCTCTAAAAATAAACATATATTTAACATGTGATCTAGAAATTCTACTCCTAGATACATACTGAAAAGAACTGAAAGCAAGGACTTGAAGAGATATTCATATACCGATGTTCACAGCAGTACTGTTCACAACAGCTGAAAGGTAGAAACACCCAAGTGTCAAACAACAGATAAATGGATGAAATGTGGTATATCCATACGGTAGACTATTATTCATCCTTAAAAAAGGAATGAAGTTCTGGCATATGCTGCAATGTGGATGAACCTTGAAAACATTATGCTACATGAAATAAACCAGACACAGAAGGACAAATATTGTACGATTCCATGTACCTAAAGGACCCAGAATAGTCAAATTTCATAGAGCTAGAAAGTCGAATGGTGGTTTCCCGAACTCAGGGAAGGGGAGTTACTATTTAATGGTTACAGAATTTCTGTTTTGGATGCTGAGAAAGTTCTGGAAGTGGATTTTGGTGATGATAGCACAACAATGTGAAATGTGCTTAATGCCACTGAATTGAATATTAATTGAACTTAAAAATGCCTATAACATTAAATTTTAAGTTACATATGATTTACCACAATTAAAAAATAACACAGAATGAATAGCACTATTTTGACTGCAGAAAGTCCATCAAGAAAACTGAGTAATGTGTCAGAAGAGACCCTTCTTTTCAGATCCCGGTGGGAGCTGGTAGTTGGGGAAAGAAGTCCAAAGGCAGAAGTTGGCTAAAATCTACTTCGTAGCAGAAGCGGTCAAGATGCTCAGAGACAGTAAACTTACATTGCAGTTTGACGAGCCATCGAATGTTGGGTAAGAGCTGTCTGGCCAGTCGGCAGGGTCCAAGGCCGCTGACTGCCGGTGCTGGGCCTCATACTCCTTGAGCTACAACAAGAGAACATGCAAAGATTGACATGGAAATAATGGCCAGAGCTGTCAGAGAGAATGTTCTGGGCACCTTCTTCACGCCACCGCTAGGGACTCAGTGCCAGACAAAGACAAGGTTCCCCAAACTGAGAGGAAGATGGGCGCCCTGCCCCGTGAGTTTTCATCTACATCAAACTGACAGACACAATGGATTCTTTGTATTCTGTGTTCTAAAAAGAACCTTGATTTTCCCCTCCAAGATCCTCCAGCCTCAAAACTCATCTTTCTCCGTTCAATTGTAAGTTCAGAAACAGAAATTGTCTGTAGTTTGGCCTCTGAATTACCTCTCTTTGTGAAAGACACGGTGTGGTGGACGCTACGGACATTTTGGTGAAACAGAGGCGGAAGTCTGAAACTGATTTTCTAAGAGCACTTGCTTTTCTCTTTCTAGACTGCTTCAAGTTACCAGTTCCATGTTATCACCTAACAAACATTATGGGCTTTATTTCGGACCCTTGTGGAGGAGAGGAAAATAACAAGCTATCTAGAATATGTTCAGAGCCATCTCCAGTTTGGGTTTAGAAACTCAGTTTCTACTTTCTGAAATAGAAAGACAAATGAAACATTAGAGGAAATTGGCAAATTTAAGTGAACAGAAAGGTCTTTTAGAATGGCAAACGTGAGAAGTTCTAAGCATGTTTTCAAAAAACACATAGAAATTTAACTCTGCAACACAATACAGTTAAGTTGCCACTATATTAAAATTCTATTAGAAAGTAGTTTTTTGATATGAAGTTTAGACACTGATGAAATCATGTTCCATAAATCAAGACACCAAAAAACAGAAATGATCTGACCTAACAGCCCAGGAGAAGATGTCAGGACTGTCCTCAACCACTGGAACTACGTGGACGTGGCAAAGCCACCATGTTGACAACATCCCTCTAGGGAAAAGCAACTTTGCAAAGTATCACTTCTACCATGAAATTCTTTTCTGCGCATACTTGTGACAGGAGACAGACGTGGGGAAGCAGACAGCATTGATTAATGGGTGAAAACTTGGCTGCAGAACCAAGTATCAAATGTGAACCCTTGGGCAAATTACTTAACTCCTCTGTGCCTCAGTTCCTCTACCTGGAAAATGGGTGTGACAATAAACTATCTCACAGAACTATTACCAGAATTACATAAGATAATGCAACAAAACTCTTAGCACCCTGTACCAATGCAACAGACTCATTACGAGCACAGTGTTATCACCAGCCTTGTGGTTTCCGATAAAAGAGAGCTCAAAGTTCACATCAACTCCAGGTGTTTGAACTTTTGCTATTTGCTAATACCACTTTAATCTTTCTGGTACATTAGGGGCATTAATATTGCTCTTATCTTTATGGTATATTTAAGTTATGTATTAGAATGCTCTTTCCTTCCAAATGTACTGGTTTCTGAAATGCTACATTCTCCCTGCATGACTGGAATAGCTGCCGGCTGAAAGACAGGGTTATCATTTGTTTTCTCCAAGTCTCTGCCATACTTTTATATTCTACCTTAGGCCCAACTTCGAGAAGCCACTAAATGAGCTTCATCTTTGATGAAAACAAAACAAATTCCTAACTAATCAATCATAACAGATTGAATATTTTTCTTCTTCTATCCGTCCCTGTCCTTCATTGACTCTGGGGTCTAAGAGAGAGATTCAAATTTGCACTCTACCCAAATTTACCTTTTTTAATTTTCTAATTTTAAAGTGCTATGTTTTCAAGTTATAAAACAGGATCTCTAGAAAGAATTTGAAGTGCATTTTACAGGGGAAAAATGCAACCTGGTTATTTATTTATGTAACTACATTTTATATTCTACTTTGCTCCCAAAGAAGTTTTGACTTAAATATAATTTCATAGAAGAAAGACAATTGATGATTTCATTTAAGAACTTAGATCTTTTGAAGCAAATGTACAGCTTTAAAACAATGACAGAAGTTTAAGTGTGTGTGCGTGTGTGTGTGCGTGCGCATGTGTCTGTTTCAGGAGGAAATACTCCTTTCACATCCTATTTTCTTTGGTCTCATAGTTTTCTCATACTTGAAGTCCAGGACATGATTCCTAGAGAAATGGCCATCTTTAGTAGGTTAATGCTTACTCTATTTTAAAAACCTGTGAGGAGATCCTAAAATGTTCCCATTTCTATGAGAAAAGAACTTTTGTATTATATCTAATCTAAATCCCCTCCAGCTGCAAGTTTAATTCATTTCCTTTTATTTTGTCCTCAGTAGAGATTAAAACAAAATAAAACAAAACACTGTTCAGTACATCCTAAGACATGTTGTCTAATAATCCTTCATATACTTGAAGATAGTGATTAAGTTCTTTTCTGTTTCTTCTCTGAGAAAAATCCTTTCCAATTTTCACCCATGGGACCTATTTAAAAAAAAAACTACAATCATTTCATTGTTCTCCTATGGACTCTCTCCATGAGCCTCTCTAGTTGTCCAGTTCTCTGTGATTGATGTACAGTAGCTGCTGCAAGGAAAATAATAAAATACATAGGTTCCCAGTTCCTAATCATGCACTCTGGTATACCAGATGCCCAGACTCTGTTCACAAAACTGTTCACCAAGTCCTCAGTTACTGTGCATTTGGGCTCACATCTACACCCTGCTCTAGGGAACTTTCCATGGCTGACAGGAGTTGTTTCCCAGAGATGCCTAGAAGGCTGCTTCCTCCTCCCCAATCAGCTTTAAGTCTCCTTTTCTCTGGCAGGACAACTCTACAGTGCAATTCACCTTCCAGAGCTCCCCACTCCCTATGGGATCAGCCTAAGGCTAGATTTCTCCTGAAACTGCATCTCTGTCCAGCTTTTCCCTCTGGCTCTCCTGCTCCCTTCTCTTACTTAGCGGCAGTCAAGTCAGTGACAAACAAGTACTTTTCAAACAAACAAACAAAAAACCCCAATGACTTTATTTTGGACTTTCACACAGGTATGACCTTATGGAATGAGACACATATTTATCAGATGGATAAATATGTAATATTTAGTAATTAGATCAAATTAACATGAGTAGTCTTTTGTATTCATAATTATATTTTAGGAAATATGATTATCAAATCATAGGCATAGATCTCCCTCAATTTCCTAGAGATAGTGCTTCCAGTTAAAATGTCAAAGGACCTATTTTTCTACAACATAGCTCCATCACTGCTGAGCACCATCATACCAAAACACTAGTGTTCTCTTTTAGCCAAAGCTTTAAAACTACATTTATTCCCTACTCACCCATCCTCACTCATACACCACAAAAATCACCCAGATAAATGAATACCCTGTGGCTTCCAGGTATCTCATAGGCTTCCAATCCTTGCAGAACTAGCCCAAAATCTAAGTACCCTGAACTTATTTGCCAAGAGCTATGCACGCTCTTAAAATTACCACCTGGAAATTGCGTTACATAGAATATGCCAATTACCTAGATCCCCCTAAACAATTTTTTTTACTAATAAGCTTGACTTCCTTAAAGCACACGTAGTAAGTATCCATCATAAAACTATTAGAAAATGTTTGACATGCATTAGATTTGATGAAACTATTCAGTTAATAAAATATAAAAATAGTAAGTTAAGCTGCTTTTCTTTTCTTTAAGGAAAGCTTTCTTTCTTTCTTTTCTTTCTGCTTTTTCAATTACACACTCAGAGAAAAATACAGAAATACAGAGGTGTTTCATAAAGTTCATTCTCTTCAAATGGTTTTTTTGCAGCTTATGGTTGTGTTTCACATATTAATTCCTTGGAGCCTTCTTCATTTTGATCTCTGTTTCTATCAATAACTGGGTTTTCAGGTGTGTGAATCACCCTGCATACTTCCCAGGGGGAAAATATCCATCAATGAGATCAAATTCATATAAATAAAGCATAGTGGACCAAACTGTCTTTGTTTGACATTAGACAAAATTTCCCCCAATACAAAGATATACTGGGGATACTCCCAGCTCCAAACAACACACAGGCAAATTTCTTTCCTGATACTGGGTTGCCCTGTCAAGAGCAGATGTTCTACCCATGGGGCTTTAAGTAACTGATTGACAGCAGGAGAAACATACACCTGAGGTCCTGAAGGACATTCTCATCATGGTCATTATAGGAGGCCCAAGTCTTAAGGTTTTTGTTTTGTTGTGGTTTTTTAATATAATGATCAAGTAAATTTAGATCCTTGAGCTGGTCATAAAAGAGGCAGATCCTTTCCATAGACTATTTTCTTCTCTAAACAACATTTTTCATGAAGTGTTTTGTCTCTGGCCAAAGAAGCAGCCCATCCAGGCACTAGCAGCTGAGGCTGTAGGCTGCCCTGCCAAGAGCAGGCCGAGAGACTTCCCTGCTACTTCACCATCTGTCAAAGGACACCCAACACTGTGTGCAGAATCTAGGAGAGTTTAGAGAATGTCATCAATTTTGTTCTTCAATCTGTGTTTCTGGATTGTCTTACCAGAAAATATTCTTGATCTCTTGTTGAGCTCTGTCCTGAAACTAGGCAGGGCAGCCCCCCCCGCCCCCCACCCTGGGAACAGACAGACTGCATTGCTAAAGCCTCCACCCAAATCCACACACAGCTGTGCTACCTTCTCATCCAGTCAACTTCCGATTTCCTTTCCATATAAATAGCTAGCTGTTAAAATCATCAACTCCGAAGGAGCTTCAAACTAATTTTTTTCTTCCCAGCTTTGAAAATGCTCCATTCTTTTTAATTATAGAAATGCACTACCTAACACTATGTTAAGGCCACTTCTCATATTTTCTTCTGCGCCACGAAAACTGGATTAGGTACATCACATGCAACTCTCCTCCCAGAAGACCAGGTTGCGGGTGAAGGTGGATCAGCAGCAAGGACAGGAGGTCGCCACCTGCCACCTGTTCCATCCCTGGTCCAGCAGTACTTTGGTCCACCAGGGACACTGTGGGCCAAGATCACCTCCGTTCCTTCAAATCGACAAAGCAAGAGAAGCCGGCAGATGGGCATCTGGAGGTGGCCTTGGCCCTCAGGCCTCCAACTAAACCCCCATCCCAGCTCCCTCTCTCTTCAAGTGCTTTATTCCCCCCAAGGCTGTCTCAACAATACGTGAAACCTTTTGTTTTTTAAACTATTGAGGTTTAGAGTCAGGTACAGAAAACTAAATTGAACGTGCCTGTCACAGTTTCAAGGTTTCAGATCTTAAAGAGTCTACTTAATGGTAAAGTCATAACTCATTCAATAATTCCTTAGTCACTTAAAAGTTTTCATTTGTTTCTAAACTGAACGTGCTCATCACGGTTTCAAGGTTTCAGATCTTTAAGATTCTACTTAATGGTAAAGTCATAACTCATTCAATGATTCCTTAGTGACTTTAAAGTTTTCATTTGTTTCTAAACCTGCCTAATTTATGACTGTCTACACAGTACCAAACCAACTATTCTAAGTGGAAACCCAAGAATCCATCAGTCAGTTTGTTGGGCAACAACCAAGCAGGAAACCTCTTAATAATTGCTATCTCTCTATCATAAATGCTACACCAGTACCCTAAGGATTAATTAGGCTTCTTTTAGTGCTTAATTTAGCTCAGAGCAAAAAATATGACACACTAATTAATACCTACTTAGAAAGAAAAGTAAGCAAAATTTTAAGGTATGCCTAAAGCTTAACTTCTAAATTATTCAAAGTTTAGTCTGTGACAGCATCTTATACAACTGATGTTTACAATGGTTGTACTATATTAAGTTTTACTTTTTTTTTTATTTAATAATTTTTTTATCATTGTTATATTCTTGTCACTCTTTTTACAAAGCTTGTGTATTTTGCAATGGCATTCAGAGAATCACTTTCCTCATTAAAGTGGTCCACAGCTCAAAAATATTTGCCACTCATTCATGTGTGTAGTCACTGAATACAGAAATTTAAAATTCACATGGAATGCTTGTATTAAGCCAAGAGAATGGAATTAGTATTTTATCTGATAACATAAGTACTTGATGACCATCAAAGTATCATCAAAATACTACTTTAAATAACACATTCCTGTACTCTTGAGGCCCCTGCTTTAGTCCACTAGAGCTGCTATAACAAATTACCATAGACCGGATGGCTTATAAACAACAGAAATTCCTCACAGTTCTGGAGGCTGGGAAGTCCAAGATCAAGGAGCTGGCAGATTCAGTGTGGGGTGAGGACGTGCTTCCTGGTTCACAGACTGCTGTCTTCTTGCCATGAGTCCTCACATGGGGGAAGGGGTGTGGGCGCTCTCAGGGGCCTCTCTGGTAAGCTCACTCATTCCACTCACGAGGGCTCCCCCCCTTAGAACCTAAGCACCTCCAAAGGCCTTACCTCTCAATAACACCGCACTGAGCATTAGAATTTAATACATGGATTGGGGCTGGGGGGCACACAAACATTCCTTTTATAGCAACCCCCCATTTTTCCACATAAGCGGGTCAAGGGCTCACAAACGTAAACCAAGTATCTGCACTCTTACCCTCGCAAGCGCTTCCTCAATGGTGATCATCTTCTCCTTGACCATCATCATCAGCTGAATCCGTTCCTCATCACTCATTGTTATCTCGCTTGCAACATAGCCCACATCTTCTCCTAGAGAGTGAAGACAAAAGACACGAATGAAACAAAAGGAAGATAAAACAGCATGCTGAGTCCTGCAAGGTCACTGGTCAGGACTGGAGGAGGAGATAGTTCAAGGGTATTGTCTGGCATTGCACGTTGCTGATGGAGCAACAACAGGAGCAGAGAGTAATGGGCTGCTTTCAGGAAGCCAAGGAGCCCATCTTATTGAGAAACAGGCTCTGAGGACGTATGCATGTTACCATAGAAACAAATCCTTCAAAATGACCAGAGCCTTTGTGATGGAGGGCTTAGTGGAAGGGTTTTGGAAGAAAGCCGACAGGAAGTTCAGAGTAAGAGGTGGGGCAGAGACCTGATTGAAAAGACCCACCTAGAGCAGACAAGCATTCCAAGGCTCCGTCGGCTGATGGTCCTCTGTGTCCTTCTATTTCAAATATGAACAAGAAGAAAATCTTTTTGAGAGGAGTGGGAGGGACCCCTTTTTTGTAACATAGAGCTTTAAGGTCACAGAGTCAGCGGCAGAACAAGACCTGCAGCCTGGTGAGATCCTAGATTCCTACGAAGCTGTTTAACTGCCGTTCCTCAGAGGACAGGCGCAAACAAAATCACACGGATGAAGCATTTTGAGTTCATTTATATATTATATAATATATATAGTAAAGTCTCATCATAAATATGTATATATCTGAAAGTCTTGTCATAAATATGTATCCAGACTGTGAGGGGAACTCAATTTCCTCCTCGAAACGGAAGGCAGCCAGGGGCACCTGGGTGGCTCAGTCAGTTAAGCATCCGACTCTTGATTTCGGCTCGGGTCATGATCTCAGCCCCCTCGTGAGATCGAGCCCCACATCAGGCCCTACACTGTGCGTGGAGCCTGCTTGGTATTCTCTCTCTCCCTCTGCCCCTCCCCCCTTCCCTCTAAAATGGAAACAAAACAAAACTAAAGGCAGCCAGAACTGCTGAGGCAAAGAGAATCCCCCTATTAGGATCTTTCGAAAGTGCTTTCCTGCAAAGCAAACAGATTACCGATATCCGTAATATATGTGAGCCACGTTAGCTTGTGTGCCTTTGGTTAGCATGTAAGGAAGGATAGGTCAGTGGAAGTGGGCGGTAATGCACAGACTGGGAATAAACCCACATTCTGGTTCCTCTTCCCTCCCCTGCCCTATCTTTCTCACACATACTTTACCAGCTTTGATGTCACTGGGATGCTTGGCCACTGCTAAATTTGCCCTTGGTGTAGGGGACCAGTAAGAAAGTCTGACTGCAGACCTGTAGGAACCCACTGCAATCAGGGCCGACCCTGGAATTTATGTTTCCATGTTTCTCTATCTCATTTCTATTTTGTAATCAATCAGTCCAGAAATACCACTCAAGTTCCCTTCGCCACTCATCTACTTGTCCGGGAAGAATAATAGTGTGTGCTGGGTGAGGGGACAAGCCTGCTGGTTTGATTCATTTTACTATCTGCATCACCTCCGAGGGTGGAGGGAAGCGACGGGGAGCTGGTTGGATTTTTTAAAAAATCCACATGAGCCAGTAAACTGTTGGCTTCCTCCCTCTATCCCTGCGTCCCTTTCTCTCTCTCTTTTTCCTTCCCTTTCTTTCTAAATACGACTTGGTTAGGATCCGAGGTTTACTCTGAATCGCAAGTGATCTTGGGTGTGTGTACCAGAAGGAAAAACTGGGAATGTTTAAGAATCATAACCTTAAACCAGGAATTAACCCCAGTGAATGTGGCCGGGGTCGCAGGTTGTGTGACTGCTGTCCGCGCTGTCCTTGTCCACGTGGCCCATTTCCATGGGTACGAGTAACTGGAGAAGCGTTCTGAACAGGGTAGGACACTACAATTTTGTAAACGAAAACAGTAGCTCGTGAGCCACTAAAAATGTTCATCTCATGATAACCTCTTTGGCCTGGGCTGGGATCGAGAAGTAGCTTTGTGTCTGCTTCCTCTCTGAATATGGGGGAGACATAAATTACACAACTGGGCCTCAGAGGGATGACATATTTACTTACTATATAAACAACAACAAAGACACAGCCAAGAGGCGGGCAGGGCTCCCTCCACAAAGCGGCCTGGGCACATTCCCATGATGTCAGACCAGGAGACAGAGTTTCCAGGGGCAACAACCCCGTAACTGGCCTGCCACAGAAACGCAGCGAAAGCTCAGAAGATTGCAAAGGCCCCAAGTGGCGGGACAGGGGGATGGGTCCAAAACTAACAAATTCTATGACTTTCTGGACCCTTTTGGGATGGATCTTGGCAAGGAAAGATCTTCCTGAGGTTGGTATGACAGAGAAAACGCAAGATTTGGTCTTTGCCGTCAGATCTATGAACAGGAAGAACCTGCCAACTCTCAATTTGTTTTGATTAAAACAAAACAAAACAAAACAAAATAAAAACAACCCAGTGGGATGAAGTCTTGAAAGTCATGACAGGAATGTCAGAGAAGTCGAAATCTTTGTGGGCCCGGGCAACAAGTGTTTCTGACTGGCAGCCTCCAGTTAGATTAGTGGACGCAGGCTTCTCAACATTTGGGAGCTAAAAGGACCTACTGTCCACCAGCTGTGGTACAGTACCTTTTGAAGTCTGTCTCATTATTCCTTTCTGGCTCTTTCGGAAGTTCTGCCAGAAATACTTATTTTTCTTCTTCCAGTCTCCTTTTCCTTTAAAAACGAAAGGAGGGGGAAAAAAGGCACAAGCAATAAATTCATTAATAACAAAAGTGGCCTCTTCTTTATAATTCAAAGCTTCTAAGAATACTTTGATTTCACAAAAAGACAGTTTTTCTCTTTAGATTTGTGAAAGACTTGGAAATGCCTAAAAAGTTGTTTAAAGGAAATGCAAATTTCCTAGCAGCGAGTAATGGTGCAGTGGGGTTAAGATGAGAAATAAAGAAACATCAAAAAGGCAAGCAAAACACACATTCGAGTATTCACTTTGATGTTGTTTAACTAGTATGTCTAATTCTGCCCTGTCTTGTCTTGCAGTGGAGTCTCCCCCTCTGGTCTCGGCCACAATTATTCCAACGAAACCACAAATGGGTTACTCTAAGAAGTTAACTTTGTTTTGTCGTTATCCCTGTTGTCGATCTCCCCTCAATTTATTTCTGTTGTTCCAGATTTAAGGAGGACGACAGAAAGGCTGATGACCTGGCTGTACTTGCCCGTCGACAGAGCCGGCTCCGGGGGCCCGATGGGTTGACCCGCGCTGTTTCTCTGTGGCGTCGAGTTTGCTTGGGGGGGCAGCTACGGCGTGGGCAGGGTGGGGAGAGGGGGCTCACACCTCTCTGGCATTCAGGTTACTTGCTGACCGACTACCTGCAGCTTACCCAGGGTACGACGCGAGAAAAGCAGACCGCTAGCCTGCCGTGACAGCTCCCAACTGAGCCCCCTCCTCCCTCCCCCCCCCCCACACCCCGGACTGTTTGGGGGACAGTTTCACTTGTCTGCAGGTGAAAACCATCTCACTGCCGCAGCTGCACATCTGCAGCGTTTGCTAGGGTTCTGATCCTCGCTGATCTATGATGCCTTTTAAAACGCAAAAGGGAAAGAGCACGTGAAAGACGGGAGAGGCCCCGTACTTAGAGATGAAACAAAGCAGCAGGTCTCAGGCGGACGGGGCACACGCAAAGCACCAGCTTCGTCACTGTCACCACTCGGTGTGTCTGGCTGCTCTGCGGCCACGGGAAGCAGGGCCCAGCGGAGTAACCCGCTGCTGGTTTCCACAGTCTAGACTGGTGGTGCCAGGCAATGCAGCACAGACGCGTGGAAACCCCTGTGCACAGGGCTCCCGGACTCGAGAAGGTGCCACGTGTCAACACAAGATGCCCCCATTTCAGTGCTGATGAGCCTGGAGCTCTGGAACGAAGCCCATGCCCGCTACGCGGAGACTTCCTGTATACCCCGAATCTTGGCCGGCAGCATGCGGGCACCCGCTGCTTTCTGGCTAAACGCTGCAGCAAATATTAGCACGGAAGGTGAGAGCAGAAGCAGGGTTATCACTCACTCAGCCTTTCTCTCAGGCAATTCGGGATGAGAACGTATTTCTTTTACTGAAGGCTATACTCCCTTCCCCTTCCTCTATTTTAATGTTTCCGAAATGGAGGTGCAAATTGAAAAATCAATAAGAGCTAACATTTACTGAGCACTTACCATACCCAGGCACCTTGCTATCTAATGGCTTATCTCACTTAATACGTGCAATGAACAGAATGTATTATTGTTCCCATTTAGTGGACGAGAAAACCGATGCTTCAGGAGGCAAGTGATTTGCCCAAGGCCATAACCACTGAGTTCGGAAGAGTCCTGATTCAAACCTAACTCCAAACCTAATCTAAGCGCTTGTGCTCCTAATCACGACAACTCTTGTTGCACTTGCTCTGACCCAAACAGAAAAGAGATTACAAAATCAAGAGTGGGTTTTATAATCAAGGAAATATAAAATATGTAACACCTTAATTGTACATAGTCTTTGATTCAAAAGTTCCAAATCAAAGGATTTATCCTAAGGACATGATCAGGGATAGGCTCAAGGATTTTTAGGATACCATCAATTCTCTGAGAGCAAAAATCAGAGACAACTTAAATGTCCAGCAAAGAAGAGACGGTTGATTAAATTGTGGCCCATCCCATATGATGGAATATATACAGACTTAAAAATTTTACTATAAAGAATATTTAATCGCTGGGGTGCCTGGGTGGCTCAGTTGTTGGGCAGCTGCCTTCGGCTCAGGTCATGGTCCCAGGGTCCTGGGATCGAGTCCCACATCGGGCTCCCTGCTCCACGGGAAGGCTGCTTCTCCCTCTCCCACTCCCCCTGCTTGTGTTCCCTCTCTCATTATGTCTCTCTCTGTCAAATAAATAAATAAAATCTTTAAAAAAAAAAAAGAAAGAATATTTAATCGGGGTGCCTGGGTGGCTCAGTCATTAAGCGTCTGCCTTCGGCTCAGGTCATGATCCCAGGGTCTTGGGATCGAGCCCCGCATCGGGCTCTCTGCTCAGCGGGAAGCCTGCTTCTCCCTCTCCCACTCCCCCTGCTTATGTTCCCTCTCTTGCTGTGTCTCTCTCTGTCAAAAAAAAAAAAAAAAATCTTAAAAAAAAAAAAGAACATTTAATCAATGTGGGGAAATGCTCAGGACATATTCAATTGAAAAAAATATATAAAATAAAATGCACAGTATGACGCCAATTATGTTTAAAAGAAAACCCACATAAATACAGGCGGGGGTAAAGAGAGGAAAGAGATGTATCAAAATCCTTAGAGTGTTTCTTTCTGGGTGCAAAGATTCTTTGTGGTTTTTGTTTTTTCACAGTTTCTGTGTTCTATAAAGTATTAAAATAATTTTAAGTCGTTAAACCAAGAAAAGGAATACTGACCTACACAGCCGTCTTCTGAGTTCGACTTAGGAAGAGTGTTCCTAGAAAAGAAAAAACATGTCTGATTACGAGGGAGACTCGCCTTTGAACGAGGACCGAAAACCCTCCCAACTCGGCTGCCCCGGCATCAACACCACTTAGCCGAGCTGGGGAGATTCTGATACGGTACCACTAGTCTTATCTAGCCAGCTGCTACCTTTCTAGAAACAGACTCAAGAACCCTTTGTCAACATTTACTGAAGACTCACTCCAGGGTAAGACCTCTATTAAATGAAGGGAATGGATTTCACTAGAGGATCACCACATGATCCACTTCTGTGAACTATTAACCACACGTTGTTACCGCCACTGAGAAGTCTCTTGTTGTAAGTGGGAAAGAGAAAGCAGACAGTGATACCACTAGAGACCCGGCCCCACAAACACCAGCCACTTCGGCCAGTGGGTGAGTGCTGTGGTCAGCTGCAGGAGAAAGGTAGGCAATCGGATGCTCCGAACAGAGAGCAGATGGTTGCTGACAATTCACAGGCACGCGATCTGCCTTGCTAGATCCTCCTATGGTCAAAGAGAAGCCAGGAAATCTGCTTTAAAAAACAAAACAAACCAAAACAAAAAAGCAGCTCCACATTTTTAAGTGATGGCAAATAATTCAATGTTTTTAAAAATGCGTCCAAGTTAATCAACGAGTATCTGGGCACCAAATTTGGCCCACACCCCACCCTACCATGGCTGCCAGTTTGTGACAAATACAGACATAGCCAAATAACTTGAAACATGACCACAACCCAACACCAATTAATTGTTTCTCTAGAACACACATAGACAGATAACGACTTAAAGTAAGAAGGAAAGAAACCAAGGCAAAGTTCAAACGGGTTCTCTCCTAAAGGTCAGAGGAGACGTGGGGCAGCGTCCTTCATTGGGTGGGTCCACGGCCTAGAGGGTAAGTTTGGTGTCCACTTGCTGACAAGGAAAATCAGGAAGAAGGAACTGGCATTGGGACAGAAGCACAGATCCTCAGGGGGTTCACACCTGAATCTTCACTACATTCACCTGCCAGGATGGAGGGGGCATCTGGCAAAAATGCATTCTTGATGGGAGAATGCATGGGGAGACAGAGGTTGGGAGGCCAGAACCGTGTCACACTGAAGTGATCGGAGGAAGAGAAGAAGAGCATGCAAATGGCGATTTGCGGCCCACCTTACAGGTGAGAAGGACCTCTAGGATTTAAGGTGACCAGAGAAAGGAGGACGGGGCTTTTTGTCCTGCAGAGCCACCTGGGAGAAGCCATCTCCCTTCAGGGCAGGATGACTGGTGCCAGCTCACCGCTGGGGGCCAGCTGAGCACAAAGGCCCAGGCCTGCAAGCATCTTCACAGCCGAAGTCTGAGAGAAGAGAATGGTTGCTGACCCGCGCACAGATCTAACAGACCTCTGTCGTCAATGAGGGGAGAGAGGAGTTGCTCAGACTACAAACAGGGGAGGCACCTCAGTTGCTGAAGACGAGAGCTAGACCCGAAGTCATGATTTCCCAATGCCACTAGCTGTGGACACAGAAAACATAAGGAAAATCTACCCTATTATCGAATCTTGCCAAGGTTTAGCTCCCAGGATGTCCTCCGCCCTCCTAGCCACGCAAAAATGAAAATGACTAAATACAGACTTATTTAAAAAGCCACTTCTGTTCTTAATTCATGCAGCAAAAATGTCCTGAACGCCATCATGAGTAAGGTAGGGGGACGATGACTAAGAGACGGGACTCCCGACGCAGGGAGGGCGACACACATGAGCAAAGGGGAAAGAAGTACGGGCGCAGGAGAAGCAACAGCAGGAGGAAGGGGAAGGCAGGGCTGGGGGCAGAGAAGGACGAGGAACAGGAGATGTGTGTGAAGGGCTCAGGGCCACAGACGTACGGGCACAGCAAAGTGGCAGCAGAGAGCGGACGGCAGAGCGCTGGCTAGCTGGCTGGAGATTAAAGCAGAAAATCCTTCTAGAGAAATAATATTTGAGCGGCACGTGGGTGGCATAGTCGGTTAAGCGACCGACTCCTGGCTTCGACTCAGGTGGTGATCTCAGGGTCAGGAGATCGAGCCCCTCATCGGGCTCTCAGCTCAGCGCGGCGTCTGCTTGTCCCTCTCCCCCTGCCCCTCCCCACTCTGCACTCTCTCACTCGAAAATAAATAAATATTAAAAAAAAAAAAAAGAAAAGAAAAAAGAAAGAATATTTGAGCTAAAGTTTGAGCTCCTAAATTTTGTTTTTTCAAATTCTATTCTGTTGCATTTTGAGCTCAAAGTCATGGTAATATGCATCAGTCCACTTTCCAGCACAGTCATCCCCTGCTTCTGCCTTACCTGCTTACAGCAAAGGAAGCACCACATTTATTTTTAAAATCACTCTAAGGACAAGGAGACTCTTGACCTAATTGCTAAGGACCAAAGACATCAAATATCCCTAGCTCTTGCTCAACTACTTAACTATGTAATAAACTACAAATACGTATGTGAACTTTTACTTTTTCCAAAATAAGTATTTTCGGGGCACCTGGGTGGCTTAGTCAGTTAAGCGTCTGCCTTCGGCTCAGGTCATGATCTCAGGGTCCTGGGATCGAGCCCCACATTGGGCTCCCTGCTCAGTGGGGAGTCTGCTGCTCCCTCTCCCCTCCCCCACACCCCCCTCATGCGCTCACTTGTGCTCTCTCTTGCAAAAAGAAATAAATAAAAATAAATAAATAAAAAAAATTTTCATGGGGAAAATAGCTTAAAGAAACATTACTTTCCTTTAGTCCTTTGCTGGTTAGAATAATACCACCTTACTGAGTTGTAAGGAATTTTACCCATCATTGAATCCAATCCCAATTTTATAGGGAACAATGATCTCCAGAAGTTACAGGAGTGATCCAAGGTTCCACCAGCTGGTTAGAGCCCAAACAAGGAGCTCTCCCCAGGCACTGGCCACCCGGCTGTCTTTCCACCAGACGCTGGACTCTTCCTCTCCAGATAAAACGTACAGAGAATTGTTTCTATCCTATTCTTGAAGAACTCAAAGGCTAACCTCTATTTTCCAACGCATTTTTCACTCTTCCTGCCAAATGGGAATGTCTTCTACCACAAATATACTCCAGAACCCACACTGCATAAAAAGGTAAGTTCTCACCATTACATAGTTATCACAAAATATAAGTGTATATTCCTGCTTACAATTTTTTTTAACTTGTATCTACTTTCTTCAAATTATCACACGTATTTAAAATTTATCCTCAGGTTTGCACTTGGGATCTTTTCATTACGTAAGAGGTGTTTCTACTAGTGATGGTACTGCATTTCCCTAGGAGGCCAGCAGATGGCACTACAGCTCCTCTAGTCATCCTGCGGTGACAAATGGGGATTTATTTTTAACATTTCACAAGTTCACAATCTAGATACTGGCCAAAGAACAGCAAGCCAGTGTTTCCTAAGTGTGCAGCTCCCCAACTCATCAATTTGCAAAGGGGGAAAACGACATCGTATAAAGTTTAATTTGGACGCGGTGAATTGTCCCTGCAAAAGGAGGCGGGCAGGCAGAGCAGTGATGTGAAATGCCATCTTTCTCCTTGAGACTGATTATAAAATTCATCCAGCAGGAGCAGAAATCAATGATGTAACCAAATTCCAAATTTGGATGGCAGCAGGTGGAAAGGGTCATTTACTGATCTCCTGGTGGAAGAAATTAATGCTCAGGAGTGAGTTCCAAAGAGGCCTCCTCAGAGCACCTTCTTTCAGCCAGACACCGCAGGCCTGGGAATGGCTGGGCTGGAAGCAGGTTTGTCAGCCTCTCTCTATCCATCACTCTCACTGTCGACAGGGTAAAAGGGATGGGAACTTCAGCACAGGGTTCCGGGTTTCCATGACTAGGACTGACTAGGATGCAGTAATTAGCATTCTGCTGCACTTTGGACCAAACTACGTAAGCATCAAATAATTTGGGTTTTGCATCTAGTCTCTAAACTCAATCTTAGAGGTACCTTTTCATCAATAACTACTACTATTAGACCCCAAGTGTAATTATTTTTCCTCAATCTCTAAACTACTTTAACCCTCCCTGAACTCAAAGAAAATTCAATAAAGAATTTATGAATGAGATAAAAAAAAAAAAAAAACAACTTAAGGGATAGCATCCCAGCACTTAACCAGCTCCTTTCATCCTACCTCAATCTTGAGCAAATTCTTCGTTCAACTGTTTCGTTCCTTTCTTTTCACTCGTTCATTTTGTCTTTCTTTCCTTCAATCAACATTTATGCAACTCCCATTAGGAGTCTGGCATCCTTTGAGGTATTGAGAATGCAGCGGTAAATAAGACAGGCAAGATCCCTGTTCTCTTGGAGCAGAGGATGGGGGTAAGAAGCAAGGTGGGGGGTGCAGGTCAAGAAGTGGGGAGAATTTTTGCTGGGATGGACAGAGAAGGTGTCTCTGAAGAGGTGACAGGTGAACAGAGACCTAAGTGATGAGTTGGCATGACAGGCACTCGCCCCAGCAAGGAAGGCTACGTTGGGAAAGAGCAGAGGAAGAAAGCAAGGTCTACTCTGCACATACTCAACCTCAGGTGCTTCCTGAACATCCCTGCGGAGATATCAAAGACATAGTTGGGTGTGCGAGTCTAGAGTTCAAGGGCATCACTGAGGACTGGAGATCAGAATTTGGAAGTCACCTGCATATTTAAAGCCAGGAGACCAAATGAACACAGTGAAGAGAAGTGAGGCCAGGACCGGGCTCAAGGGCAATCCAATCTTCAGGGTCAGGAAAAGAAGGTGAAGCAGCCGTGGGACTTAGGAAGCGTAGTCATGGGGAGAAGAAAAGCCAAGAGTAGGCTTTTACCCTTTCTGACTAAAATCCTATTTTACATAAACTACACTGCTGCCCCAATGGTAGCAGGGTAAATTCTAGGTTGCTCTATTTTCTTTCCTCTTGAGTCTTGCTTCACAGTGGAGATCTCCATGGGGCCACAGAGAAGGAGAAACACAAAGTTCAGAATGAAATTCTTTACATTTGTATGGAATTCTACCTCTTAAA